TTCCTGCTGGGGATTACTGATTTGTTGATTGATCCTCTTGGATGTGCGGGCAAAGTATTTTTGGTTCACCTCTTGTCCATAAAATCTTGAGTTCACCTCTCTTCTTTCCCAGTGACAAAAAGGTACCTGCAAATACAGAAAAGGGTTTCAAAAACTGGTTCCAGTTTTCATTCATGCTGTAACCAAGCATGGCTCATGTAATACAGTGGTGTGCATGGAAGGCCTCTATGACAGACTCCGCATGTAAGTGAAAATAAAATCATTCCAAGAAACATGGATAAAACTTCAAAAATAATTATATCTGCACCATAATCAGTTCAGCAAGTTCAACAACTAATAGAACATGTTCAAATGTTTCTTTTTCGCACAATAATCAGTGTTTTTTAATTCAAATTTAATTATGTTTCGATCATAATTTTACTAACCAAGTGTAAATGGGACTATATAAAGCAAAGCCGGTTGACCATGTCCATCCATCAAGTTCAAAGCCACGTATGTGATAAGGAGACCTGTGATCAAAATTCAAAAAATTAGATGTAAAGACCAAACATATAGTCACCTCCACATTTTCAGAGTAAGCAGGTCCAAACACTTTCAAAGCTCAAACAATTACTCTGTTATCTATCACATTCTATCTATTGAAAACTACCCGCAGATCAAACATAGCATACCTAAACCGTAAGCAGTCATTGCCCACAGAAAGTATCCATCCCTAAGGTTCTTCTTTGCCAACCAATCATACCTGTAAAGTTATCAATAGAAAAATCAAGTTCATGAACTAAGTAATAAGCATTCTCTTCAGCCTTCCAAAATGTTTTTATTAGGAGTACAAGGAAGATGATGAATAGGATATTTATGTATGACTTGATTTCAACCTCAGTGAAAATGCTACTAGAAGCCCTGGTAAGATGATGTCCCCAAAACCAATGATACTGTAACCACCCCAAGGATCAAACAAACGTGGTATCTTGAGTAGCATGGGGATACCATCTTCTCCACTCCTATCACCTCGAGCTACCTGCAAAAAGTGAAAATGTTGCATTAGTTTAATAAGAAAAGAATCATGTTTTGAGATAAAAATCAAGCTTTGTGAAGAAAGGAAGAGAAGGGAGATGTTTGAAAACAATCACCACTATCATCACACTCTCATGGAACCACCATTTAGAGACAA